AATGATACGCAACGCAGCAAATGTTCAATATGTCACTTTATTTTCTCCGCGGTGCACTCATCCTTTGTTGGCAGTACCGGTTAGATAGGCCTACACAAGGCCTCCGTCTCACCGTCTCTCAGTCACACACATAAATAAGCCCACTCACACATAAGCAGAAATCATCTTTGTAGTTCTGCGTATCAAACTGTTGAATATTAATGTCGTCTGATTGATGCAGTCTATCATGAATAGCTGTGGATCTACTGGAATTTCTCCACAAGAGTGAATCATCACGAGTGTCACCATTTTGAACAGTTGAGCAAATAGTTAACAGTTGTAATTTTATAGTACAGCATCAGTGTATGTCAGTAAATCAACATCAAGGCGCAGCAGATAATTGTTTGAGCTGCAGGTGCATCAGTTTGAGTAATGAATTTAAATGGAAATCTAATTGTTGTTTTTTTATCTAAGCTTATAATTAAATTGAACTTATCTTAAAAATACAATTCAGATACCATTAATTTGTTATTTTTGTTGACACTATTAATTCAGATCTCACAAGCAGTTTAAGATACGACAGGTACGCACACATCTCTCATTGTCTGATTATGATTATTATTCGTCCTTTATGATATTTCAGATGTATGGAGCATTGCCATGACGATAGCTGTTAGTGCAGATGGCCCTCTGTGACAGAAATAGTATTATTCTATCTGGTCCTCCTCTTGATTCTTCATCTCCGCCGCAACTTGTCTTTGTTGCGAACAATGCTTGTGTGTTGTTTACATGTGTGTGCTAAAGGCTGAGTTCACAATCTGTTCACCTGCATGTTCATTTCACACCTGTTATTTATGCAACATAGGAGCGTCTCTGCATGTAAATATGAGTATGCATTGTTCTCTTCAGTTGTCTGTTACGTTTTCCTGCAGATTATTTAGTTGGGTAAGTGAATGCATCCCGAGTTTAGGGAGTTCCATCGATCACGTTAATGTGTCTTGGTTATCATCATATATTTTGTGTGTTTACACAGAGATCTTTCCTTATTATCTGTGTGTTCAGATACTGTATGACTTGTGTATGACTCTGTGTGTTTGTGTATCTGGGCGATATTGTGTTTATTGGGAGAGAGTATAGTCTCTTTTACTTTAGTCCAAACAGCGGTCAGTGGTGTCTGGCGTTGGCGAATGTCTCCAATTCCTCCAAGTCCACCGTCTGACTCCAATTTGTGCTCGTTCTCTGATAAACCGCGGCATTTGGTGGTTCTGGCGTGGGATGCCGGCTGCACCATGGGGTGCTGCAAACTCCGTGCTTGGTCAGGCCCTGGCACCCCACATCTAATGGGCAACAGCTTGAATAGTGCCCACTTAGGCAGGCAGTGCAGACTGGGCCCCCTCTTCTTCCTCGCTGCTCCAGCCAGCTAGCCAGCCAGCCACCGCCTCTGCCACCTCCCACTTACCCAGCAGCCACTGTACCTGGCCGCAGCCCCAGAGCTATTCCAGCCTACCTTAGGCCCCTGGCCCATGCAGCTCTCGCCATACTTATCAAGCTGTCCTACAGTGCATCAGGCCAGGCATATACAAACAGGCCCAGCTATCCGCTAACTGAACATTCAGTCTATTGCCTCCTAGGCCCAAACAAGAGTTCCTGCCACAGGCAGCAACCCAGAGCCCATTCACCAATTAGCTGGAAGGCAGATTATTGTCCAGGGAGAATTATCCAGCTCCAGCCCCACATATTCAGCCTCTGCTCTACCCGTCGCCCTTAACGCTTGCTCCAGGGCTTGGCTCTCCGCTGACATCTCTCCTCTGCTTTCTCTTTTTTATGCTTTAATTTGACAGTGCTCACCAGCAGCCATTTTGTGACAGCATTTTTGCAAGTAAACGCGTTGCATTTGATTGGGGATACAAAATGGCGCGGGGGAAAGAACCACATAACTTAGCCTGACTTGCCAGCGTTGATTTGATCCTCGATGAGGCTCTCAGGCCCTTGTCACGGGGCTTTAAACCCTCAGGCCTTGAACTGAAACTTAGAATCAGCCGCCCTCCTCAAGGTTGTCCCCATTAACGAAGGCCTTGAGTCTGTTCTGCTCCGTTGTGTACAACTTCATTCGGTTGTACATGTAAAGTGTTGTTCAGTAGATCAGCAAAAGCAAACAGATGCCAAATGTGTAGCTCTCTGTGTTTTTGTTTTCCTATCTTCTTCTCTTTTTCATTGCTCTCCTCTTCCTCACCACCACCACTCTATTGCTGACTGCTGGAACTTTCTGGCGGTCTGTCTGATGCTAATTGGTGGGTAAACAGGTCTGGTGTGAGTCCCCCCCCCCCCCCCCCCCCCCAATTGCACACAAACACACACACATAGGCATACGCAAATACACACGGCCCCCTGGAACCTCTTGCAGGACCAAATGGCTGGCAACGCCTGCCCGCCATCTCCCGCTGAGCCCTGGTGTGCGCTTTGGTGGCTCAGGCTGCTGTTCAAGCCCAGCGGGGGTTCATTCACTCTCACACACACACGCATACACGCACACACTCATACGAGTACAGACACACACAGTCTCCTTGTGTCCCCTGCACACCCGCCACCCGCTTTCACACCCCAGACAGCAGGACAGCAGGAGAACACACACACACACGAAGGAACAGACAGACGCGGTCACTTTAGAGATGCAGGCCAAGCGCTGTAGGGGAGAAAAGTTTTCACTTAAACTGGAGAATTCTCTCTTCATTAGCGCCTTTGGACTTCAGGAAGAGTTCTGTTTATTTGTTCGTTTTTTCCTGTCTTTGTAGTTTTTTCTTTTCTTTCCTTCTTTGTCTGTTCCTCTGTTGTCTGGCTACACTTGGACTTAGCTGAGTTAGAAAGTTTGGTTCAATCAGGAGTAAAAAGCAGTGTTGTTCAAAGCCTGTGGGGATGAGCACCTTCGTTTGCATCTTACCTGCACAATTGAGACGAGCGAAAAGTGGAGATTAAAGCGATTCGATTGCTACCAAATGTGTTGAGCTAGTTGGCATTCCCGTCGCACTACGAATTCATACAATTATTCATATGTAGACGTATAAGTGCGGTCCTTTTGATCAACTGATGTCACGTCGCTGTAGAGATATACATGCTTTTGGTATGAATGTGGCTGGAAACTAAATTGTATTGATACAAACTGCACAGGAAATGCAAAGGATGACAAGCAGCTTAACCAGAGCAGACTTATCTTTTTATTTTTTGCAAAAGAGTCTGTTATGGACCCTTGTATCTGTGCAACTGTGTATGTGTGTGTGTGTGTGTGTGTGTGTGTGTGTGTGTGTGTGTGTCTTGTAGACAGCTGTAGTATCACTCAGGGGTCTTGAAGCCGACAGTGGCCTGACGCTTTTACCCATCTACCGCCCCCAAGTCATTTCTGTCATTCTCCTGTCTGTCGTATCTTTCATTCTCTTGTTTGCACAGTGTTTAACTCTCCTCCTGCCTTCTGTCTCACCTCTGTTTATCTACCAGTCTTTCTTCTTCACATTATTGATCTCCCTCTAACACAAAAATATAACTGAGTTAGGAATTATTCGAAAACCGGTTGTGATTTTTTGATTGATAATTGTTTAACTTCGCCCAACAAATCGAAGGCCGACAGTTGTTTTTGATACTCGCTGAGTATTTAGCATCACTGTCAGTTGCACATCTCATTTTGAGAGCCATGTTTTTTATGGATCAGCCTCTTAAAGGTAAAATCTGTGATCCAAAAGTAAACTATTACCCTTTGTCCACTGAAATTTAGCACATATATGCAGGTTTTTTTAAACTAAACTAACTAAAAACAGGTGATAGACTCCTTTCCCATTGCCAGTTTAACAAAACCGTGTCCACAGCTCTGCAACAGACACATCAATTTTTTCTGGTGTGTCATGTTCAATGTCACAAACGCGCCAGAAAACAGATCAGTAAACAATAGAAAGAAGCGTGGAAGCCAGGAAAATATGACAGTGGTTACTTCTTTTTTTACATCTCTTACTTAATCAAGCTCTCTTTCAGACTCTGTGCCGATTAATTTTGGAGAAAGTTCGAGTGTTGCTCGGACAGAGATGGGCAGAATTTGTGGCATTGCATCGCACCAGAAATGGGGCAATTATTATTAAATTAGTGTGTTCACACAGGTGTCATGTTTACGTTCCTGCAGATCAGAGCTTGAGCCGATATATATAGCCATGACGAATGCAGAGTTGTGTTGTCATGCCACCGGAATTTCTAACTTAAATACATACATTACATATTACATTATTTTTTAATATCATGGGGAAAAATTAACATTGACCCATGAACTTAAACATTTGTATTAAAAAAAGAAATATTAAAAAAAACTATAAATTGACATTGACAGCTTTACAGCAGAGTGAATGTTGTAAACATTAACAATAAGAGAGGAGGATAAAGTACAGCTGTATCTGTAAGTGCATCTGAAATTTTCAGGATTAATAGGTATCAATGAAATCATATTTTTGACAACACAGCTGCAGAGTCATTTTCATTGACAGTGGGAAAGGAGCTGAAGAGCAGCCTTACCACCAAATCACAACTGCTTTACGTGCTGTGATGCTGAACTTGACTGACATGTAATTAATTTTGAGTAACACAAGCAGATATTTCTGTCATGGTCAGTTGAAAAAACAAATTCTTTACACTTCAACACTTCAGATTTACATGGTAAAAGAAACGATATGACTGAGTTATAGCCCGCAGGTTTTTCATGCTCAGCCATTAACAGAGGATGAGTAATCACTCGTCTGAAGCACAGAGTAACATTTAGTGCCTCTGTTTGGATGAACACTGATTTTTACACACGCTGCAGGTAGCCAAGTTACGTGATAAAATTGTGCATCTAATAAACACCATGCTATTTTGAAATTTCACAGTTTGTATTCAGTGCATTTTTTTTTACATGAAATACCATTATAATTAGAAAATGTGGATAAATTATTATCTTTATAAGAAGGATTATGGTTTAAATGTTCATTTAACATCCTGGTTCTTTTCCCCAGGCAGGACAGAGAGAGTGCAGAACGGGCTCATGAGGAGGAAATGGCGTCAGCGACCCTTTCAGCGCGGGAAAGAGAGAGAGAGCTGGCTGTGCTGCTGGAGCAAACAGAGGCTCAACACCAGCGGAGAGGTCAGTGCTTTCACTTCCACTGTCTCTGTCCCACCTCTCTAAATTAAACATATATCTGACCTGTTTCAAAGAAAGTTAAGTATCCTCATCTTTACTTTCCTCATCAAAGGAGCTTCTTTAATTCAGAGTCTTGTGTAGCTGAACCTCAGCCCGGATGTCCACCGGTTGCAGCTGCATCACGTTTTGGTTGCTTTGTTACATCTCTGTTGCAGTTCAAATGTTGACTGGAATCGTTTCAGAGGTGGCTCGTCTTCATCCTGTCTGTCCTTCAGCAGCCATGTTTTGTTTAGAGTTGTTTGCCAACATTTGGGTGCGTATTTGAACCTTGTGTAAAGACAGGAACTTTGTGCCTGTACTTAACATATTTTAACTACTGTATGCAGCACGCTGTCTTGTCTTCATTTCCTACCTGTATTTTCTGAATAGTGTGTATTTGCAGAGGGAAATTTGTAGCAGTCTTTTTCTTGCTATGGAGACTTTGGAGGAAAAGAGACAGACAAATAAGAAAACTAATGAAATGCATCATTAAATATTAAATGGATATAATTTAGGACTGGTTGCTCATACCTGATACCTTTTAGTTATCAACCAAAATAACCCAGTACCAAGTAGTATTGAAACTTTTCCAGTCAAATGACCCCTGCAGTCGTTACAAATTAACTTATCTAATTACCTAATTAATTACTGTTATAGCAACTATTTAAACAATACCCAGCCCTAATGTCATTCAATTGATATCAGTATTTCTATACATTCACAAGTGATTCTTAATCTTCAGAGATGCTCCAGTCCTGCATCTGGTGGCCGTTGGCCCTCTGGCTAGCATGGCAGCTGTGATGAAGCCACATCAGCTGGACATTACAGGTCAGACAAAGGGCAGCACTAAATGTTTTTCAGTAGAGAGCCGCACACACTTGAGAACATCTCTACACAGCCACACAGTAGCAAGTGCAGGCCACTGCGGTACATAGGCGTATTAGTTGTCTTCCACAGAGGGGAGGGTGATGTGGGGGGAGACGGAACAAAGCAATAGCAAATAGGATGAATCACACTGAGTTCGAATATTCAGAACTGCGAGGAGCAAAACAGCGAGAGTTAATCAGGGTCAGCTACAGAATCACAGCCCTTGAGCTGGGAGGGTTTCAGTCTCTTCCTCAAGGACACTTCAGCAGGGTGGATCTGTGCTGGAACAGGGTCTTGAACCTGCATCTTCCAGTTGAAGGATGGCTTTCCTTCTCACTGTGCCACCTTGCTCCCCACCAACACGACACGGCCAGAGTGGGAGGGGACGGACAGGAACACAAATCATTTGAGCCGAAGTGACCTCAAAAGAGCAGAACAGAGGGAAAAAGAGCAAAAGAGAAGCCATGAGAGGAGGAGAGAGAATAGCAGGGCAGAGCAGAGGGAAGGTGATGGGAGCAGAGCAGAGAGACCCAGCTCAGAGCTCCCTGTCTGTCTGCACAGCAGAGCTGCTGCTGCTACCACATCTGTTGCACCATCTGGATGCCCCCCCCACCCTCACACCCACCACCCACCCTCAGCCACTCTCGCTCTCCATCCCTCCCTTCTCCTATCTTTTTATTTACCTGTGGTTCCCTTCAACAACCAGGGAGCCTGCTGGTACGCAGAACAAAGATGGAGGGTACAGAGGGAGGAATGGATGGAGGGAGGGGAGGAGAGGGGGGTAAACAAAGGGTTTGTTTCTGGCGCATGTCGGCGGCACACATGTTGTCTAAAGAGAGCTGACATCAGAGCACAGCAGGAAACTGTGGATGGGGAGGGGATGGAGGGGTGGACGTCCTTTAGTAGCTCGCATCACTTCCTCTCCCCGTGCAACCCAACAGACGAGCTGGATAATTAGCTTTCTTGCTCTCCAAATCCCGCCTCTCTGTCCATCCGTTTGTCCTTCCATCCATCCGTCCCCCCTCTCCCTTCTTCTCCGCTCCTTCCCACCTTTTTTCAGATTTTTTTTTTCATGTTTCTTTTTTGAGTAAATGCGTACAGAGCAGCCTCTAGATGATATCAGATATTTGTTTCTCTCCATCCCTCCCTCCCTGCCACGCTTCTTCTCTCCATCCCTCCCTCCCTCATTTTTTCTCTGTTTGTTTCCAGTGCCAGTTCTGCTGTGTTTCTGTGTCCCAGGGTTCTTTTTGGCCTACGCACGGCCAGACGCATTCAAAGCCTGTTCAGCTAATTAGCATTCTTCATGCAACTTTTCCAGCACTGACCAAACTTTGTTGGGTGTACGTGTGTGTGCACGTCCGCGAGTTTGTGTGGTTTAGTTTCATGCTCTGTAGCATCCAATTTCTGCCCTCCGCGCATTATCTGTGGCAGTGATCTGGGGACAGAGGCTGTATGGAGAGGAATGAAAGGTTAGTCACTTTGGAGACACAATGTGCAGCCAGTACAATAATACTAAACATCAGTGGGCATTGGCCTTTACACCTCTCCCACTCATCATTTCCTTCTTTATATTTTATTAGCATCTCTGTAGCTCATAGAGAAGGAAGAAGAAGAAGAGAGGAATGACAAAAGTGTAGAGTCAAATTTCAGCCTACAGGTAATGCTATGTATTATAGTGCAGACATCTTCCATCATGGCTCTTCCACTACTTGTTTCTATCTCTTTCTTTTCTCCCCAATATCTACTGTATGCAGAGAAAAAAAAACTCTTCACAAGTCTGAGCTACTTTTCAAAGACTGCGAGTCCTTGGTGTTTTTGGTTTCGGTTGACTGTAACAGAATGCCGGAGCAGGTGGATCATTCCCTCAATCCAAACGGCAGCCATTGTTATTTTAAAAGAGCAGACATATGTTGGAGAGCGGAACGTGGATCATTTCAAAGGAACGATGAAAGCCCACTGTTGGATTGTTCAGAAAGAGGCCCCCATGAGCGGATGAGGACGTGGCAGGAAGGGTGGAAAGGAGAAAGAAAGCGCTTTCAAACAACAATCCCCCTCTCTCTCTCTTTCTCCATCTCATTTTACCCTTCTCACACACTTTATATCTCCATCCTCTATTCTCTGTACTTGTGTTTTTTCGCTCTGTACATCTCCGCCTGGTGTTTGAACAGTTCTGATTTTATTGTGAATGTCGACAAAAGCATTTTTTGGGAATACATTCAAAGAGACATATGTATCTGCAGCATTTGTTACAATAGATTTAATTGTTCCGCTCTGTCCATAATGGAGATGTTTTCCCCCTGGTATGTGAGGCCGTTTTGTTGATCTGCTGTTAAAAATGTATCATATGTGTTAATAGATGTGGCCAAAGCTCTTTTATTAAAGTTTTATTTCTTACTATATACAGTATGTCAGACAGTCTGGTAAATGGCAGGCATGTTTTCCCCTAAATTCTACCTTTAATTAAATAAAAGCAAAATAAAATCCTGGGCCAGTGAAATAATCTTAAAAAAATCAATTCTATTTGAGCATTTAAAAAAAAAAAAAATCAGACACATATTCTGTATGCTACACTAAAATTAAGAGAAAGGTTTAAGTGCAAGCTTGAGCTTGCTGTGCGTCACAGTTTTAGCATTCACCCCTTGACAAATAAACTCCTCTGTCCTGCAGAATAATGTGACTATAAACACTTTTAAAGCGTCATTTCACTTTGGTGTGACGTCAGGTTTTTGATGAGTGCAACATTAAAACCTTGATTAGACTAAAAACTTGCATCATGGGTACGAATCTTGAGACCTTAACTTGTTTTGTCCATTTTTTAAATTAGATTTAAAGCAGAATGAGCGTGTTTAAATCACATTACATTACACAGCTGTACTCTGTCAGTGTCTTACAAATGTAATTGTCACATTATGTTTTTTTTTTTACTTGGAGCAGCAGTTAATTTCAGGATGTGTAGCAGCAGTATTAAAAAAAGTAGGGATACACACTATGTACAGTACATGTAGCTGGCCTTTTAAAATGATAAGAGGAAGTGTAAAGTGGACCTACACAGTAATATACGGTGTGTGTAATAATGTTACTCTAAATGCTCTCAGCAGCTATTGATGTTGATACCAGAATTAGAAAATCAACTGTCATTTGTGCGACTGCCTTTAAACATGTCTCTGTTATTAGAGAGAAGGGGAGGTGGGTGATGGCGGCGTCCAGTGATAACACATCTTCGAGGCAGGCTTTTTGACTTTGACAGCGTCTGAACTTCAGCGTGGGCGTGCGGGCTGAAGAGTAAAAAGTGTCTAACTGAAGTGATATGTTGCTTGAACCCCTCTCAGTGTCTCTGTGTGGCCAGGATCCCTGACAGCTACTCAAAGTGCACATGTAATCACCCACCATGGTTAACCTCACACTAACCGACAACTTTCCCACGATCGCTTGCAGTTGGAGAGTTGGACGGGCTGCTGAGTTCCCAGAATTCCCTGATCAGGAAGCTGAAGGAGGAGTGCTGCGCGCTGGGCGTCAGACTGGAGGAGCTGACAGAAAGCAGCAGGTCAGAGTTTTCTCTTTCGTCATATTTCGTCTTTGTATGAATTCACTCGATACAGTTCAGATCTGCTGGTGTAGATGTACGCAGCCTCTCTTTTTTTATTCATTCGCTCGCTGTTGTTTGTTCCCTCTATCTGTCGGACATCCATGTCATCATTTCATGAAGCGTCATCGATCCAGGCTGTTTGGACAGAGCATGTCAACATACTACATACTGCTTTCCAGTCTGACCTGTTTTCTTGTTAACCTGATGCTACAGTAGTCACAGCAGGCCTGCACAGCTCTCCATCTGGGCTGCCTGCCTGTGTGTGTGTGTTTCACTGTGTGTTTGTGTATTTGAGTGCGTGTGTGTGTGTGTGTGTGTGTATGTGTGTGAGAGTGACCCTGGGCCCAGTGTCCTGTCAGCTGTTGGAGCTGTGCTGCACATTAGTCACATGACAGCCCCCAATCTGGCCCTGCCAGACCGCACTGGCCTCACCAGCCACAGGACACGTGCACACAACACACACACACTGTGATAAACTGTGTATTATTTTATGTGTTGACATCAATACCAAATACACATATATATGTACAGACTAATAACTGCCACCTTGAATGGTTTTTTTTATGTGTAGAAACTCACATACACGCTGACACACTGGCATGAAGGCTCATCGCCTGCATCTGCTGTATGTGTGTGTCATGTAGTTTAGCAGCAGTGTGGTGTTGGAGTGTTTTGTGCCCGGAGCTGTTTGAGCTCCTGGAGTCAGAGCCCAGTGTAGCGGTTAAAGTCCTGCTGGACAGCCTCAGTTGGGCTAAGCGAGGTTACACTGAGACAGTTGCAGAAAAAACACTGAGAAAAACTCTTGTTTTAGGTTGTTAGTTTTTTATTTTTTTTCCCTCCCTGATATAAATTTAAATACCTGAACTTTTGCCGCTCTAAAACAGTACTTACCAGTGGCTGCACAGCCCAACTTGTTTTAGAGCGGCATATCATTTTATTTAGTTTTATTTGGATGTGAAATGAAACCAAAGTTTAAATTAATAAATAATCAATGAATTCCTTATTATTATTATTATTAATAATATTATTATCATTATTATGATATCATTACATGAATAATAATCTATTTATTTTACTGTTATTTATTTATTAATTTTTTAATTAATACATTTTGTGGTATTTGATTGGTGCGTAGACTCACATCGTCGCTGATTCGTATTTTAGGCAGTATTGAAGGTATTTTTTGATTCAGGTTTTGGCACAACTCTTTTCTGCTGACAGGGAACTGCTTCTGTTTCGGTTCCCGCACTTAATTTCGAACTGTTCAGAGCATTTTGACCAAAACTAAAGTGGTTTAGAACCCGCAAAGCTGGTTCTCAGCTGGAACAAAAAAAAATAAGCAGGTTTTCCTTGACCTGAATTGTGAACTGTGACGACATGAGTGGGCGTGTCATATTCTACAGGTTGAATAGAGGATGGGGAAGACAATATTCAAGTGAGAAATTGTTAAAAAGAAAGAGCGTGCCGTGGTTTCATGAATAGTTGGTCCATGCTTGTTTTGAGGGTAAAACCATCAATAACAACAGTAACAATAACAATAACAGGAAAACTGTAATTAATGTATTTCGCAATTTTGCTACCACTGTTTACTTTCATTGTGCATTGTGCAGCGCCCTCCATTGATGACACATCCTTGATTTTAATGGCTCCACCCAAAACTTGTGAAAACATGTGCTGGTTCTCTAGATAGCACCGAGGTTCCAAGAAACCTGAACGAAAGTGGTTCAAGAATCAGAGCTCATTTGGTGGAAAAGGGGTATATGAGGCCTTCTCCTGCTGCTGCTGTGCAGCTGACAAAGCGGTTCAGAGCATCTGGTGGACATGTGGCTAAGACACATTTCACATAACTGTGACGTCTGGCCACGGACCCTTTTGTTCCATTTCATATGACTCTCTCTCCCCATGTTTTCTGTCTGTATTCCTGTTGCTGCTCTCTAATAAAGAGTAAGAAAATGGTTGCTCCACAGTCTTATGACAGTCGTATGACATGAGTGAGGATTAACCTTTTTACTCAGCTGCCAGTTTATTAGGTACACCTAACTGAACTAAAGCAGTCTGATATACCAGTCCTACCCTCACTGATGTAAAAGGGGTGAACAAAATAATATCTGTCATCTGTCAGTATATTGCTGCATAGCTCAACAGCACCACAGACAGCAGTCTCTGAAATGATCACACAGTTGAATCAACACCACTTAAAAACAGTTAAAACAAAAATACAACAATATTACCTTCATGAAGGTCGGATTTGTTGCATGGCTGTTGTATTGGACGAAATTAGTTTAAGCTAGGTGTACCTAATAAACTGGCAACTGAATGGGAAATTAGGAGAGATTCCCAAAAAAATGTATGTAAACATGTTGTTATTGTTCGTAACGTATTGTTACGACAGATCTTAAATCTCAAGACTCACCTGTTCCCTTTGCTGAGATTGAGCTATTTATTTGTATTTATGTCTCGTATTGTGAAGCCTTTTGTCATGTCACATCCAGATTACTTAAATAAATTTACAGTGTTACTAAAAATCATTTTTAACTAAAACCTGCAGCCTGCACACCTTGCTACCAGGTACATCTTTAAACTGTTACATCTGTATTAACTGTGCTGGTGTGTGTGTGTGTGTGTGTGTGTGTGTGTGTGTGTGCAGAGGAGAGCTGGAGCAGCTGGCCCTGGAGAAGCAGCACCTCGAGGAGACAGTAAAGAATCTGAGAGCTCGCTGCTCTGACATGGAGGATCAGTGTGTCCAGCACGGCCGCATGCACCAGCGCATGAAAGAAAGGTACGTTAATACACATATTTAATACACACACAGCAGCACATCCCATACATCTTAACATCTTTATCTAATTTCGTCAGCTATATTTTGTTCCTTTTTCGACAATGTTTTTACCAGCAAATAAACATCTGATTTATAAGACTATGATATGTTAGTTCCTCAGTCAAGACGGTTTCCAGTCGTGCTTTTTTTCCACCCAAGAAGTACTGCACTTATTTCAATAAAAAAACTGGCAGAAGTATCTTATGATTTTACCATTTTTGATTATTAAAATAACAGCAGCCTTGTTGGAGTTACTAAATGTTCCCAACGTGCTTTTTAGTTTTAATTTCTTTCCGTGTGCAGAATCTGGCAGCGGGCCTTCCCAAAGGAAAAAATAAGTGCAGTTTTCTCTTCACAATCTGTCCCCGACTGCTCAGTCTTGTGCACATCTAATGTTTAATTCTTACAAGAATTGTTTTATTTTTTTTGTTGACACAGAGGTTTTTTTGTGTCATCAGCAGTTTACTCTCCTGCTGTCTGTGCAGTGGCAACTTTTTACACTTTGTGAAACTGTTCTCTGATTAGAAAACAGAACTTTTCTCTTATATAATGCACTGGAAACATTAAACTGAGTCACTTTTGGGGGTCCACAAACAACAGGAACATCCCAACAAGTACAAGAAGAGCATTGGGTTTTACAATTCATGAGTCATGAATTGCTGCGTTGATTTAAGATGAATCAGGAATATAAAATGAGTTATGAAGGAGCTAATTCATGAAACATTGTGACTTTGACGTACACCTTGAGGCCTACCTGATGGGGTTGTGAACTGCAGACTGAGCGAGACTCAAAGCGACGCACCAGTCTGTGTGTCTCGATCCACAATAGCATGAGCAGAGCTGAATTTGTCTCCTTTTTTGTTTTTTGGAAGTAGAATAACTTGATAAATTATCTGTCTGACATCACTCCCTAATTAACTTATTCACTGAAGTTGTGATGGGCTTTTTGCACTATTTTCTGCCACGTTTTTTTGGTCCCACTGTGGACGTTTTTGAGGGACTATATAGTGTGGCGGATGCATTTTGCACTTCAGTTTATGAAACTTAATTCCCCAGTAAATACGTTGCCCTATGCTGCATACAGGGAGTTTTTCAGAGACACTGACTTCTAAAAGCTGCAGCTAAATGTGGCTCAATCTCTGGCTTATGCTACAGTATCTGTATGTGTGTGTGTGAGAGTGTGTGTGTGTGATGCGGGGGTCTCTTACTCCCTAAGTGTGGAGCCCAGTTGGTGTGTGTCTCCACAGGGCGCCTGGCATCCAGCCTGGCTCTGCAAATGTGGGCGAGGTTGTGTGGGTGTTGTTGCCCCACTCTGCAGGATCTCTACCCCAGTGCCCCCACCACCACCACCACCCAACTCCACCTTCCTCTTACACAAAACCAAACACACACACACACACACACACACTCACCCTTTTCTCCTGCTCCATCACTGACACTACATATTGTCTACCACCCACCGGTGTTAACCTGTCGACAGTCAGACGCTGCCAAAAAAACAAAGTTTACCAAGTCACAGCTGTCTCCTGCTTGTGTGTGACTCTTTTTGTGTGTTTCATAAAAAGAAAAACAATCTAAGTTGTCAAGGAGTGTGAAGTATGAATATTCTGTATGTTTCCGCGCATATGTTGTGGTGGTATTTTTATGTGTGTGTGTGTGTGTGTGTGTGTGTATGGGCTGCTATTGCATGTTCTCAGGAGGTTTAGCAGAGTAGGAATCTGGCTGCCAAAAGTGGATTGGCTGGGAAGTTGGCACCTAACTTCTCTCTTCTCCCAACTGAACCACGATAATCACTCTTGGCATTTAGTGAGTTTTATTTTCTGCTTTGACACTTACTTGGTTGATGAATCCTCCTGATATTTAAAAATCCTCTCGAGTTCAGTTCTACATGAGGTCACTTTTGCAGCGACTGTTCAGCCGCTTGACCACATTTTTGTATCTCGTTTCTAGAGATAATTGTTTGGTATGTTTGGGAATGCATTTATTACTTGTGAGCAGTAAGTACATGTATTTTTGGCACTTACATGTCATGTTTTTAGGTGATTTGTGGAGAGGAGGTGCGGTGCAGAGATAAGGGAGAGACAGGGAGGCGAGAGAGGTATGACTCACGTTTACGATGATCCACACCGCAGCTGGTACTTGGTTTCTCAGTATGTGATTGTATTTCTGGTACTGAGCGTACTCTGGGGGCAAAACTTGAAAACCTGCCACAAATATATTCTTACCATGTTGATTTTAGCTTAAACAAATTTAAAAAAAGAGATCCACAGTATTTATCAGGGCTTCACTGCAGATTGTGATGTCTGAATTAAGCTATAGAAGCAGGGCTGAACTTTCTGTATTTTGTGTGTGTGTGTGTGTGTGTGTGTGTGTGTGTGTGTGTGTGTGCGTCCGTGCGTGCAGTTAAATTTGCGTGTGTGTGTGCGTGCATGAGTGTGTACGTCAGCTTTCCTACATATGGCACTGTTCTTGTACCGAATTGCATGCATGCTCCTGTTACCCTGTGTGTCTGCGTCCATACATTGGGTATACATACGTTAGTTGGTCCCTGCAGGCCCTGAGCACTCAGTGGGCGCCCTGCCGCGCCGCTCGGGGGTTAAGGTGTACGTGTTAACAAGCTGGTGCAAGTGGGTTCAATATCCAGCGCCCCGCCCCTCCCCACAGCCTCTCCATCGGCCTGCAATCTGTGCTGCGAAGAGCGGCAACAGCGCACCACGCACAAAACATTTGGAAAATCAGCTTGATTTATTTTTACATGGGCAAGCTGATTGCCAAACTACACAGGGGTTTTAGCACACAATGTTTTGCTGCACCACTTATTTATTTATTTCACTGTGTCTGCGGTGTTGTTTTTTTTGTTTTTTTGCCTGGAAATGAAAAGAGCGGAGGGTGGAGAGATGGAGTCAGGGAAGATGCAGAGCCAGTTACTGTAAATGATTAATTTTAAAGGCTGTATGTGTTTTTTAATGAGCAGAAATAACACATTGACACTTTAATTTATTAAGTTAAATGAGTACAGTATTTCACATGTATGAAGCGGGGACGTCTGCAGTGTCGTTTTTATCTTAACTCTTTAAGTCATTATTGTCCAGTTTGTTTATTTGATAGGCGACATTATATTTAGTTGTGATGTAGTTTTCCGGTGCTCATTCTGAGAAATGGGTGAGACAATGATAGCTTGTTTCTGCGTGAGGGCAGGTCATGTTTGTGAGAAAGCTTAGAATATATTTTACATATGCAAGCAACTAAATTACAGGTGCAGAGAGGAAAATGCGGGGGATGGATATGTGTTATTTTAGAATGTATTAAAATCTGAATGCATATATCTTAATAGCAAAACTAAGAAAGTGTGCTTTGTTATTTTCGAGTAAATGCAAGCGGTCGTTGTGATTTAATTAATTTGACATCACTGAGGAGAGAAACCTGTAAGATGGTAGTGAGAGCACCGCTGTGAGGAAGCTATCTAATGACTTAATTGTGAAAGTTATTACGGCTGTTTTTCTCTGCTCATGTATAGTTTTAAACTTTCTCTTCTTACTTCACCCTCTCCTTCTCCTTCTCTTCTTCTTCTCTCTTTCCACTTCTTCTTTCCTCTTTGCTCTTCTCTTATTCTCCAACTTTACTCCTCTCATCTTTCTCCTCCTCCCCTCTGCTTTCTGTACCAAACACCACGCAACCTTTTCTCACCCCACAGCTGTTCGCAGGCTGTTTCACCAATTATCACTATGCATGTACACACTGAGGTCACATACACAGACTCTCTCACACACACACGCACACACACACACAAGCACGACAGACCAACATAACACCAGCGTTTGCTTAACCACACATAGTGACAGCAGAGTGTGTTTGTCGGGGTGCGTGTGCGTGTACGGTGTTTATGTGAGCTCACCGTGCAGCCCTTTAAGGAGAGCAGCAACATATACGCAGATGTGCCTGTAGATCCACAGGCTTCACTGGGCCATATGGCCTCCACGAAGAAAGATGGTGCGTGCGTCTGGAGGAGAGCAGAGGAGGGAGGGAGGGATGGAGCGAAGGATGGAGGGCCATGTGTGGTATGAGCTGTGCAAGCAGTTGTTGAAGTATGTATGCCTGTGGATGCGTGTGTGTGTGTGTGTGTGTGTGTGTGTTTGCACCAGAGGCTCCAGGAGATTGGTTAATGGAACAAATGGTCGCGGCGGGCCGGGGAAGAACGAACAGGCTTGCTGCTACCGCGGGCGGACAGCGAGCCCCGGGCGAGGGCTGCTTCATCTGGGCCTCTGCCACACACACACACACACACACACACACACACACACAGACACACACCCTCTGTCAAACCCTTGCCTCAACCCCCCTCTACCCCCAAACACACAGTGTGCTGCCATGCCCCAGAAGCAAAAGGACGCTCCTCACAAAACTTTTCATTTGCAAATGAAGTTGGCAGAGGCAGGGCAGAAGAAACAGGACAGCTTTCATTTGTCTCATCTGTGTGTGTGTGTGTGTGTGTGTGTGTGCACGCAGACACACACGGGTATGCTTGCGTGCATCGGTGTGTATGATGAGTTGCAACTGTGTGTGTGATCTGAGAGACAGAGGGATGATAAAAGAGTGAGATGTGGAGAAAGCGGGGATGGAGACAATGAAGAAGGCCCACTGTGAGGTGCAGCGTTTACACACTTATGATTGTTACGCTTCATGGTCATGTGAATATTAGAATAATACATTTTTACCGATCACATATGCACTAATTTTAGTTTTTAAATCAACTGTGCATTTTTTTTTCCCCTGGAAAAAAAGTTGCATGCTACAGAAATAGCGATTTTATATATAAATGAATACAAAGACATAATTGACTTGATGTGATATTTAAAGATACATAAATAGTTTTCAGATTTGATTTATAGAATGAGAACGAATGTGGGGAAATATCCACTTCACTCCACTGTCTCTCTCACGCCTGTGTTCTTGCCTCTGGA